AAATGGCAAAAGAACCAAACAAAGAACGTTAGAAATTAGTTTTAAACAAATGTTAACACACTCCGAGATAAACTGTTCCATCCTTTATTAAACATAGCTTGCAAGTGATAAATATTACAAAGTTATTTCCTCCAAAATTAGCTTATTTTTTTTTCAGTCAATGCATAATTGTTGTTAATCAACCGGCAGTAATCAAACAGCATTTTTTCCCCCATCTCCATTTTAGACAGTTAAATATCAAGGATGTGCAAAAGGTCTGGATTAATGTTCTAAATGAAAATAAAAACTTGACAAAAAGCACTTATTTTCCTTGACTAAAATCAATAATTGTTTAAGCCAATCTCCAGTACTTTTTTACTGTACACATTTTAATTATTCATAGTCTTTTACAAACGGATTTCAACATATTGCCATTTGCTTTCAAATTCAAACTGGGTAAACTGCAGCTAAGTCGATTTAAAAATATTTGAAAGTTCTGATGAAATTTAGAAAATCAAAAAGAAATGACGACCCAAAACCCTCTCTCCCACTTCAAAAAAACAACAACAAAAAGACTTGTACTTGGAACAAATTAAAATCAGGGAGAGGAAAAAAAAAATAGCAGAGAAAAAAAAAAAGAAAAGAAAAAAAAAATTTGAAGAGAGAAGTAAACCCCAGCGCTAGAACTCCAGAAAAGCTGATTGTCCAGTCAGAGAATTATGGACAGTGATTCCATGACATGAAACTTGACAAAGCATGTCTAATAAATGTCACAAACCTTAGAATCAAAACTTGCATGTGTGCAAATTGTCTATTTTTTGTCATGATTTAAAGGCTGAAGGCAATAAGCATTGGAACAGTCAAAAACAAACAAAGATTTAAGTTTTTTTTTCTTCATCGTATACAATGTATACAATCTTCCATGAAAAAAAAAAATAAGAGCATTGTGATTTTTTTTCCCAAGAGAAAAAAAGGGATATACTGAGGAAAGTTTGCACTTTAAGCAACAGAAAACAAATGTACACAATCGCCCCTGTAGGGTTTTCTGCACCCAGTAATTTATCTAAAAGTAATGTTATTGAGCAATAGCGTGCTTTGATTTTACATTTATGATGATCGCTTTGGATTTGGTCGAGTGAGGGGTAATACTGTCAAATGTTTCATCCAGTCCATGTTCTGTAAGACCAACACTTTGTGTGGGACATTAGAAAAAGAAACGTATTCACTGAACATCTACGTAACTTCAATGTTTGAAATCAACAGTGAAAATCAAATAAAAGAAAGTAACATACGAGACAGTCCCATCATGTCTCAGTCCAAAGACTACAGAATGGATCAAACGCTCCACCAGAACAATGAACTTTTTTTCTTCTGCAAATACTACATACTACAAAAACGTACAGCCGGGGAGAAAATGCATCTAAAGAGCTCATTCAAAAACAAGAGAAGTATAATCCCATACATTTTGCACATTTGTTACACAATAATACACAGTGATCACAAAACGAAATGACAAGCTTCACAATATTCATGGCTTTTTGTTTGCTTTTCTACACAATATACAACCATTTTAATTTCATTTCATTATTTTTAATTCAAGGGAGAGAAAAAAAAGCTTATGTACAATAAGTCATTATTACTTCTGACCTAGCAAATATCGTGTCATCATCTGTTCATACTTTTTTTCTTTTTGTTTGATTAAATTTGATTTTTTTCTCCTTTTTTAAAATTTTTTTTTTTTAAGAAACAGCTGAAATTAAACAACCAAACAAAAATGGAACTTAATTGAGGAGTCAAAAGGAAGTTAAACTTCAAAATCCAACTTTCTTGTAAATATATGAACACAGGTATATGGATGCATCTAATATAGTCTACAAGAGAGAGCAGGAGAGAGAAATGAGTTACTATAAACACTCTACGTTCATTTCAAAAGAACAACAAAAACATTACAGATCATAAAATTGGAGCAAAGATAAAATCGTCCCCTTAATATCAAAGACTGAACAGAATGACTAAAAGGGACTGATTTATCATCATTACCAGGAAAAAAAAAAAAGTGTAAACATCCTATTATCTAATATTGCACCTGAAAATTTCATCCAAGGTATCTTCAAAAAATTTTTGTTCAAAAGTTGCATCGTTCCACCACAAATCAGTGGCATTATACAGGACAGTAAAAAATAAAAAATTCAAACTGCAAGGATCAGTGACTACACACATGACAGAAAAATGCATGTGTATGGATTTATTTCCAGTAATTCACCATCAAACACATAATAGCTTTGAGTTTTCTCAGCTATTAAACATGACCTGCATGACAGACCTCAAAGTCTGATTTCCAAAAGAACCATACGTGTCATAGTAAATGCTTAGGCTGGAGGGAAAAATGTTAAGTGCTCAACTTCTTGTCAACAAGCAGATGTTAAACCCTTTGAAAGCCATTTGTGATCCACGTAACTGAAACATGGAGCACTACCTCACTAACAGAGAACTAAATCTGACCAAAAGATTATCGTGAGTCCAACCAGAATGCAAAATCCATCCTGCACAAAATCCCTAATACTGCATATTGACCAAACACTGCTTATATTGTTGCCATCATTCAAACGCCTCCAAGTTATGTCTACATGCACCATAACATAAAAAGCATTAATTCACTGTGGGTTTGAAAAAGCCGGACGCTTTCGAAAAGATGAAATGCACCGCACAAAGCACAAAAAGTCTTTCTCCCAACTCTCTCCGAGACATCCGATGGCATCCATACCTTAAGATCCTGTGCGCTGAAACATTCTTGTCCTCTTTTGTTTAACCATTTTTTTTCAGTTATTAAGAAGAAAAGTGCTCCTCCATAACGAGGCATCTCATGTGCATTGCTTTAACACGATGATTGATCCTTGTCAATGCCTTCTGTTAAAACTCACTTTAACAATCTACGCATAAACCACTTTTCCAACAATTCCACCTATTTGCCATTTCAATGATTATCGTCTCCCTTGGCAGGTACCTTTAAGATACGTGGCCATTTCAGATGGAGACGCCCTGAAACATTCTTGTCCTCTTTTGTTTAACCATTTTTTTTCAGTTATTAAGAAGAAAAGTGCTCCTCCATAACGAGGCATCTCATGTGCATTGCTTTAACACGATGATTGATCCTTGTCAATGCCTTCTGTTAAAACTCACTTTAACAATCTACGCATAAACCACTTTTCCAACAATTCCACCTATTTGCCATTTCAATGATTATCGTCTCCCTTGGCAGGTACCTTTAAGATACGTGGCCATTTCAGATGGAGACGCCGCCAGATAAAAAAAAAAAAAGAACAAAACTGTAAAGACAGGGAAGGGGTGGGGGGTTAAAGAAATGATCAAAAAACACCCAAGCAGAAACAAAAATCAAAAAGGAGACAAAAGTTCATGATGATGGAACTCTCTGGCTTCATTCTTTGCTGTGCAGTGAAACGCACCGTCACCACAAAAGAAGTTATATGAAATCACTGCATCCTGTGAATGTGAAGGCATTGAGAGACATGGGAGAGATCCTGTTCATGGGCGCATACGCACAAATAAAGAGCCTCCAATTTGACAGTTTTTCTCTGTACATTCGACAGCAGGAGACTCATCCGTGCTAGTGCAGGTCCTATTTTCAGCTGTTAATGTATCTGTGTGGCCTTCTCAAGGCAGAACCAACGTTGACTAGATGAGCAGCGCTCTGCATAAGGATCAATCTGATCAATGTACACGAGTCTGTCTCACTCTTTCTGAACCAGAAGGTTCTTGGAGGACTTTGTAGTTTCCGAATGTGTAACGCTACAAAGATTCTGCTCTCTCGATCTCAGGTAAGAACGCTTTAACCATTCCAACTCCGAAACTGAACATATACGACATGAGAGAGAACGAGTCTAATTTTACAGGGGTGACTGAGGGAGGAAGCCTTCAAACGAACCAAAAAAAAACAAGCTTTTATATTTTTAAGTGACCCTGCAATCTGGCATCCTCCCTCTAAAGAAAAACATAAGGGTAAGAACATAAAAAGATGCAAAAAAAAACACTAAACCTACTAATAAGTGTAATAAGAGTAACTGTAACAGAAGCAACAATAATACTAATAATAATAACTGTGATAATAATAGAAGTAGCATTAACGACAGCAATAATAATTTGAGATAACAATAAAGAGCTTTGCTATAGTAGGAAACCGAAGTTTGAGATGCACTGACAGTCTGGTGTTTATAGTCTGACTGATTGAGCTGTTCTTATGGGTTAGTTGGGTAGGCACACGGACAGGCACTGCATGCGATGGGGTGATGGTGTGCGTGTGTATGTGTTGGGGTGGGATGTTCTGATGTAGAACAGAGGGGTGGTGGGGCGTCCGAAAGAGGGATCTGCAGTCCCGTCAGGGCTCATTTCTGCCCGGTGATGGACTGAGATATGGAGCGTGGGGGAATCATGTCGAGCAGATACTCCCGCTGACGGTCCGCTAGGCTGGATGCCTTGTGGCCCCCAATGGCTCCCGGATTTAGATAAGCAATATTCAGACCTGCGATGGAGGACAAAGACAGAGATGGGCCGGGAAAGTTCAAGGAAATAAGAAAAGAAAGACAAAAAGTTGAAAAAGGGTGTTTAGCAAAATAAAGTTTGTTACATAAACGGCAAGAACATGTTCTAAATTCTAATCAAATCCCAACAATCAAGCCAGAACATAAAAAATAAAATACAACAAAATTAAAAATAAAAATTACATTAAATTGAATCAAATTTGGCTGAGAAATCACCCCCAAAAGATTATTTAAAGTCATTTTTGTGTTAGAAAAGGTTCAAATAGACATTAGTAGCTTTATTCATAAGCAAAGTAGCTTTAGAAAGAAATTTTATTTTTTAATTCTTGGGTGAATTATCCCTTTTATTAGTTAAAAGAGGTGGGGCGGGTGCGTTAATAATTTTAACATGTTTTTTTTTCCTAATTAACTAAATTAACACAATAAATTGACAGCCTTAATTAAAATAAATTGTAGTTTCCGAATGTGTAACGCTACAAAGATTCTGCTCTCTCGATCTCAGGTAAGAACGCTTTAACCATTCCAACTCCGAAACTGAACATATACGACATGAGAGAGAACGAGTCTAATTTTACAGGGGTGACTGAGGGAGGAAGCCTTCAAACGAACCAAAAAAAAACAAGCTTTTATATTTTTAAGTGACCCTGCAATCTGGCATCCTCCCTCTAAAGAAAAACATAAGGGTAAGAACATAAAAAGATGCAAAAAAAAACACTAAACCTACTAATAAGTGTAATAAGAGTAACTGTAACAGAAGCAACAATAATACTAATAATAATAACTGTGATAATAATAGAAGTAGCATTAACGACAGCAATAATAATTTGAGATAACAATAAAGAGCTTTGCTATAGTAGGAAACCGAAGTTTGAGATGCACTGACAGTCTGGTGTTTATAGTCTGACTGATTGAGCTGTTCTTATGGGTTAGTTGGGTAGGCACACGGACAGGCACTGCATGCGATGGGGTGATGGTGTGCGTGTGTATGTGTTGGGGTGGGATGTTCTGATGTAGAACAGAGGGGTGGTGGGGCGTCCGAAAGAGGGATCTGCAGTCCCGTCAGGGCTCATTTCTGCCCGGTGATGGACTGAGATATGGAGCGTGGGGGAATCATGTCGAGCAGATACTCCCGCTGACGGTCCGCTAGGCTGGATGCCTTGTGGCCCCCAATGGCTCCCGGATTTAGATAAGCAATATTCAGACCTGCGATGGAGGACAAAGACAGAGATGGGCCGGGAAAGTTCAAGGAAATAAGAAAAGAAAGACAAAAAGTTGAAAAAGGGTGTTTAGCAAAATAAAGTTTGTTACATAAACGGCAAGAACATGTTCTAAATTCTAATCAAATCCCAACAATCAAGCCAGAACATAAAAAATAAAATACAACAAAATTAAAAATAAAAATTACATTAAATTGAATCAAATTTGGCTGAGAAATCACCCCCAAAAGATTATTTAAAGTCATTTTTGTGTTAGAAAAGGTTCAAATAGACATTAGTAGCTTTATTCATAAGCAAAGTAGCTTTAGAAAGAAATTTTATTTTTTAATTCTTGGGTGAATTATCCCTTTTATTAGTTAAAAGAGGTGGGGCGGGTGCGTTAATAATTTTAACATGTTTTTTTTTCCTAATTAACTAAATTAACACAATAAATTGACAGCCTTAATTAAAATAAATAATAAATCACAGATAAGTACATTTTCTGTAGGGGGAATCTTGAAAGAAAGGATGTCAGACCTTCACTAACTTCACTTAAATTAACATTTTATTAACTCATCCTTTTGTCATGACATACTAAAACTCTATAAAGCATTAGATCCAGCCATTGTTCAAATGAATAGAGTGTTGAATTTCACTGCTTTATAATAATTCTACATCCTGAAATCGGTGTCAGGTGGCACAGCCTAGTGTTCACCTGTTTTATCATACATTTTCCTTTTGACTATTGCATATTACTTTCTCTGGTAATTTTATTCTAGTCAGTCTACTTGGGGTCCAATAACATGTTAAGAATTGCATAATCAAAGAGTCGAGACTGGATTTCAGGTGTGGATGAATGTCAGTTTTAAAAAAATGTGATTCCCTAATTAATCCTTAACCATACAACATTTCTTCACCGTGCTGCTTTAAAATCATGTAGTGAAGGTATACTGTGCATTCCTAATTAAACTGCATCATCTTACCAGGGATGTTGTAGATCTGTCTGCGGCTGTCATGCTGAGCCCGACTGCTGCTGCTGGAACTGCTGCTGCCACAGCGCTTGCTTGTCATATCCAGCAGCCCACTGGCCACTGAGAGCTGGGAGGCCTGGGCGAAGTTAGAGAGGACACCTCGTGCTGAGCTGGACAGACTCCGCTGTAGAGCAGCCTGTGGCTGGGGAGTCTAAAAGAGAAAATGAGAAAGAATCAGCATTAAATTTCATGACACCTCTTTGTACCATTAAACCATCATCAGTCATTAAAATCTGTGATTAGCTGAAGGGCCAGAATAAAACAGCCATTTCAAAATCCATAAAAATTGTCTCATGAGATTCCATTATTTGTACACAATGGGAGTGTGCACCTGTCGGAGGGCATGGTGTCGAATCATGGTCTCCCCTTTGCTCACGCTGGGCACAGTCTGGGCGGAGCTGGGGGACAGAGCAGCCTGCTGCTGCAACCTCTGCTCTATTTCCTGAATGGACAGAGACAGAAACAGGAAGTCAACATACAGTTACAGAAACTACAAGCTAGCAATGTCAACACCAAGTCAATTCTACTACTACCACTTCTACTACTAATAATAGTGGGTCTATATGAATAAATATTATTATTACATATTATTTGTATATAGTTTATTTGTTGTGATTAATTACTTAAACTTCAAGCAAATGTTAAATAATTCAGAAATAAATGTCAGTTTTTTTATTTGTTAATATTTATTTTTATCTTACCAGTGTTATTTTAATTATGTATATACTATAATTGTATTTATTAATATTTTGGATCAGCTTCTATTTAGTTTTAATTATAATTTCAGTTAATTTTTTTTATTAAATATAAAAATATATATATTTTAATTTTAGCACTTCAACATAAAGGTGAAGTTTGTCATTTTATGTTAAAATACACTCAATTTGACAAAGGTTGTTTTAAAAATATGCCCCATTTTAAGTTTTTGCTTTTAAACAATTTTTTATCATTTTAGTTTTAGCTAACAATAACAGCATTGTAGCATACTAGTTTGTGGTGTGTTACTGAAACTTGCGTATATAGAAAATCATCAAGGTTAATTTCATCATTCAAATTTTGGTATCCTGACAACTATCAGCAGTAAAATGAAAACTGATTGACCTGTTCTTGCTGCAGAGCCTTAACGAAAGCGTTCTTGAGCCTATTGGTGTGCTCAGCCTTCAAGGCCTTCTTCTGATTGGACGTCATGCACTGCTCACAGAGGATGCGACCACTTTTCTCCTGCTTCCAGTGAGGGGTGAAGTCAGTCCTGCACTGGGCACAGAAGAACGGCTCCATGTGTGGCAGTGACCCCCGCATTTTACCTGAGCAATAGCAAAAGCAGAAAACAGGAGTTTAATGATTGAGCAGAATTAGCTGTGAATTAGACTAAATTGAATTGAAACTGCAATATGGCCTTATGTGATTATTAAACCGCATTCATTTTTAGGTCAAGTGTGAATGGTCTTAAACTGCTTCCACTTGTGTGTTTTACCTTTTTGATATTTTAGTTTTGATCTCAGCCAATCTTTGATCAGCAGACGTCAACATCTATCATATTCTAATGCAAATCGCAATATAATTTTTTTTGGCCATATTGTGCAGCCCTATTGTGCAAGTTGTTTTTGTGGTGTGCTTTGTTCCTCTTGCTCCTACCCTGACTATCAATGACGCTCTGCACGACCTCCTCCAACCCCACCATGTAGATGAACTCAGAGTTGGCAGCAGAGGGCAGGAAGTGCAGCAGGGGCGCTGGAGGTTTAGGTGGAGGTATCTCCAGCAGGGTCTTCTCCAGCTGCTTGCGGAGGGCTAGTTTAGCGGCTGCTTGGCTGCTGGCCTGGTCGTTCAGAGAAGCGACACTGGAGGCGCTGGAAAGGGTAGAGGGGCTGACAGCACCAACCCCACTCACTCCCACCCCGACGCCAGCCACACCAGCTGCTCCCGCTGCCTGCATGTGTGCCAGGTTCATGTAGATAGCTGAGGACGAGCCTGAACGCTGCGAGACCCCCACCTGCTGGCTGGCAGCCTGCATCACAAAGCAAAAATGCAAATCATCAGCAACAGACATAATCCATTTTTATGAATGATTCATTTTGCGGCTGGGCGATATATTGAATATACGACATACTCAATATGATTTTGTTGGTGATATAGAACTAAACAACACTATGAACATTGCTGTGATTTAATGCACAATTTTTATTTGGCTATTAAGTTAAGGCCTGTTCCAGTTGGCTTGTTTTATGCACCATCCTAAGGAAGAGATATTTTAAGTGATTTAAATTATATTTTAACATGATTTAAACCCCAGAAGGAAAAAAAGGAGCAACCTTTTTCAAACTGTGCATTTGAAAAAATGGGTTCAAATACTTGTTCAAAATGACTCAAATGCACAATTTTTATTTGGCTATTAAGTTAAGGCCTGTTCCAGTTGGCTTGTTTTATGCACCATCCTAAGGAAGAGATATTTTAAGTGATTTAAATTATATTTTAACATGATTTAAACCCCAGAAGGAAAAAAAGGAGCAACCTTTTCAAACTGTGCATTTGAAAAAATGGGTTCAAATACTTGTTCAAAATGACTCATATATTTATATGTGTGTGTGTGTGTATGTATGCGTGTGCATATATATACACATGTCCTGGATCCTGGATATCTTGTTCAGATAGATGGCATAATGGATTCTATAAAATACCAATTGATAAAAAATTAAAAACCGACTGTCCATGCTAGAAATCTTATAATGGGCCATGGTTGGATCTTCCAACAGGACAATGATAAACAAACAAACAAACAAACAAACATCAAAATCAAAACAAAAATGGGTCACTGAGAACAAAACCAAGCTTCTGCCCTGATCAACCCAGTTCCCTGAGCTGAACCCTATATTAAATGTGTGGTGAACTGAAGAGGAGAAGCAGCAACATGCAGCTGGAAATTTGGAGAGATTCTGTATGAAGGAATGGTCTCTGATCTCCTGTCAGATGTTCTCTAAACTCTTTAGGCATTATAGGTGAAGACTCTGAGCTGTTCTCTTGGCCAAAGGAGGTTGCAAAAAGTATTGGATAAAAGGGTATGATTAATTGTGACCAATGTGTATTAGAGAAAAACATTCCCATTTTAAATTCTTATTTTCCAATGAAAGCTTAGATTTTAGTAAATTTTTAAAATAAAATATCTAAAGGATTGATGATACAGATTAGTTTTCATAGCCTTCTTTGACCATATTTACATATTTATGAATAATTTTGAGCACAACTGTATATATATATTCAGACAAATATATAAATACTGAGATATATACTGTACACATACTACCATTCAAAAGTTTGATGTTGGTAAGATGCTTCCCAATGCTGATTATATTTGTTTAAAAAGTACAGTAAAAACAGTAATATTGTAAAATATTACTACAACTTAAAGTAACTTACAAATTGTAGTCGTTTTTTAAAATACAATTTATTCCAGTGATGGCACAGCTGAATTTTCAGCAGCCATTACTTAAGTCTTCAGTGGATCAAAAAAAAAATCGTACTATTAAACATATGAACATATATTTTGTCAAATTTCGCCCAGCACTAGTTCATGAATACAGTAGATTGAAATAAGCCAGTAATAAACAGATTAAACAAAGTACAAATGTGTCACATGAACTTTAGAAAAAAATGTCAATAAATTGCATGGAAAAAACCCACAAAACAAGTTAGGGCTAATGGCTTTGAACTTGACTGTACCTGCTGATAGCTTACTGTGTTACCCAAACCACCTGTGGAGGAGCGGCCCATGCCCAGCTTGGAGGGCATTCTCTGGCCCTGAAGCTGGGCAGGATTGGGTGCAATAACCCGTTGTGACATCATCATTGGGGGCAAAGATGCATTGATAGCAGACCTGATTACTGTGTGGCCCTGAGGTGGGGAAAAAAACAGTTATTAATAACTTTGCAATGCACTGTATGACCACTAGATGCCAGCAGACACTGTATATCAGATTGCACACTGTTGACATCAAATGCTGTATACTCAACAGATGGACCGTAATTAAAAATGGTAACTGGTACCAATCTATACAGTTATGCTGATCTTAAGGTGCTGCTCCCATGGCAACCAACAGCAGGCTCTAACATGTTCAAGTCTAATGTGTACAACATAATAAGGAGTATCCATGTGCTTTATGCTTGTGCTTAAAATCCTCAATAATGCATTTAGAAAGAAACAAAAAAAACGATCTGTACTTTGCTCATATTCAGAAAGGCATAAAACCCCTGTACCTGTGCAGTGCGCAGGCTCTGAGGCTCAGATGAGTGCATGCCAGGCCGCACAGTTAGTTTCCCGAGCCCCTGAGAGCTGTGCATGGGTGACGGCTGCACTGATGATGGGGCATTCTGGACCACCGGCACCTGAAAAGAGAAAAATGAGAGGTCAGAGTCCTTCTATCAAAAACTCATACTGTACCGAGTTTCAGTATAATTTAAAACAACAACAATAAACCCCCCACAATGTATTAGAGGGACTCGAGCACCATTTTTTTCAGTTAAAGCTGCTGTGCGATTTCCACCAATTGGAAGTAGAAAAATGGGTATTGTTTGAGATTTTACTGATTGTTTTGTTTGATCCAAGCACTTCTCCATACTCCATTGTTAAAAAAACAAGGTAGCCTTGTCCCTTGTCCCAAACTCATTTTGCTGAGGTTTCTGATTGGCTTTATTATAAAGTCTAGTGATGTCACAAACATATGTGACTTCTCACACCTATTTCACTAATATATATCAGGTAGAAGAGACATTTTAATGCATTTATGCATTCAACATACCGAACAAATGATTAGCGTATTCATCTATCATGGTATTTTACATGGTAAGGCATTTCAAGGAACATAATACATAAACAATAATTTAAAAAAAATGTCATTAATACTATGCATTTCCAAAAACAGTGATTTAACATGTATAACAACAATAATAATAAATGCTGTAATTGGTCATTTAATAATAATATATATTAATGACAATATTAACATTATTACAATATTATATGCCTCGTATGTTTTGGTACTTCATTTGTTACTATTTTATCTTAAATTAAGCTAATCAAATTTTCATCTTCCAACTTACGAGTAAGCAAACATTGTTCATGCAGAGTGGGACATCAAACGCAAGTGAGTGTTTATGGGTCGCTCCTGTATCTAGATAGACACTGAGTTCAGAAGCAAAGATAAAACATCTCAATGCCACAGTACATGGACAAACATTACACAGAGCTGTGATATGGTATCTGTGAGGTTATGGCTGCCCGTCTCGCTCCCTGTTACCCTATTTCACCCCCGCTAGCAACTAACGTCCTTTCAACAAAGCGATTTACCTCGACAGTTTTTCCTGGCATTAATATAACACTCAGCTGGACACGAGGGGAGGTTATTTTGCTTGGTGCTAAAACAGTGAAGGTGAACATGCTGTACAGAGGAGCTGCAGTGTAGATGTGGAGTACAAATACAGGCAGATTTACAGCATACAACACTGCGACATTCAGTTGATGCTAAAGTGCTGTCTCCAATTATAGTTTAATATGCAGAGACAACTATGAGAAAGCCAATCGCAGGCTGATTTCACAGAAATTGGAAGTGGAAGTGTACAGTAAAATTCAGAACAGAGGATGCTAAAAGTAACAGCACTTCACTTTAAGTTGATACCAAAATTGGAAAAAAATTTAACAAAAACATTTGTTATAATACGCGTATTTCTACTGTGATGTGATTTTGTAATGATTAAACATAATATTAAGAAGTCACAGCTTATGAATATTATCTAATTCATACTGCTTCATAATTTGCTTGGATTAGCAAGTCATGTGACCTAATATTCATAAATCAGGCCTTCACTATAGTAGAATTTTAGTTGCTGTTTAAACGAAACTGTAACACACACACACACACACACACACACACACAGTTGTCATTTTTTGTATCACCATTGTTCAAAGGTTTGGGGGCTGTAAGATTAAGTCTCTTATACTCACTAAAACTGCATTTATTTGATACAAAAAAGTAATATCTTAAAATATTATCACAATTTTAAAAATGTTTTCAAAAATGTTCATATTTTTTTAAATGTAATTTATTCCTCTGATGGCAAAGCTGAATTTTCAGCAGCCATTACTCCAGTCTTCAGTGTCACACATACAGGGGGGCAAAAAAGTATTTAGTCAGCCACCAATTGTGCAAGTTCTCCCACTTAAAAAGATGAGAGAGGCCTGTAATTTTCATCATAGGTATACCTCAACTATGAGAGACAAAATGAGA